GTCGGTACTTGAAATAACAGACGTTGGCACACAACACACATAGATGTAGGGGTAGTGGCTCAAATGAAGGTGGATTCAGAAGTGAGCTTAGCTCTAGAACCTCCATAATTATCATCGCCAAAGACATGCATACATGTAAGTAGTCCTGAAATCAGTCGAGGATGTGAAACGTCTTCGAAGTGAACATCCACAGCGGATCTGTTTCACCGTGGACCAAAGCTCACCACCCTTCCAACCAAGCCTGCCTTCACCCCTTGGGGAGGCTGCGCCGTCCACGACACTAACACCTCTACCCTCCCCAAACCATGGTGCTGAATGTGTTTCGCAAGACCGAAGCTGACGTGAGCGACGAGGCCAAGGCGTTCATCAACTCGCTGCCATCCACCTTCATGAACCTATTCCGCAAGAAGCGCAAATTGATTCCTGTGTGGAGCTCCAGCAAGTACTGCGTCATGATCAAAGCCATGTTCCTGGTGTACTACCGCGCGTCTAAGGAACCACACCAACCTGCAACCAGCACGAATGGCCAGGCGAGTGACGATCGCCATTACAAGTTTATCCACCTCCGCCACTACCACATCAAAATCGTCGACAACGATAACCTCGGCAATGTGTTCGCCCGAGCAAGGCCGGGGCAGCGTCACGTTTGCTGCTGACAGCGAGAAGGACCGCGCCAAGTACATCACGCACGCCAACAACGTGCAGCGCGACGTGCCACGTCCGACAGACTTTCAAACGCTCAAGTTGATTGGCAAGGGTCACTATGGGCGTGTGATTCTCGCAAAAGACAACCACAACCAGTTGTTTGCGATCAAGGAAATGAAGGCCGGGCAAGTGAAACACAAAGTCATCCACACTGAGCGCATGGTCATGGAGCGGGTGGGCGACCACCCGTTTGTGCTGGGCCTTGACTACGCCTTTTCTAGTGGCTGGCCGTTGTATTTAATCTCCAAGTTCATGCCAGGAGGCGACCTCTTCCTGCACATGGAGAATCACGGCGGATCGTTCCCTGAAGCCGTCCGTCAAGTTCTATGCATCGGAAATCGTGGTCGATCTAGCCCATTTGCACACCATGCACATCTTGCATGGAGACATCAAGGCGGAAAACGTGCTACTGGACGTGGATGGACACGTCAAGCGGGCGGACATGGGCCGATCGAAACGGTTAGAGTCCAAGCACTCCCGCACCAAGACGATGTGCGGCACGGATGCGTACCTACCGCCCGAGATGGTGAGTCGGACGCTGCAGGGTCATGGCCTGCAAGTCAACATGTGGAAGCTCGGGTGTCTTCTGTACGAGCTTCAGTCGGGATACCCGCCGTTCTACTTGCCCCAATCCAAACAGAAGCACACCCACCAACGCATCTTGTTCCAAAGCCCAAAGTTCACATCCACCATGACGCCCGAGTTTCTGGACTTGCTCACGACGTTGCTCGAGAAAGACCC